ACAAACTGAACTACAACGAATCTGTGCCGAGGCCTTAAATCAGGGGTGGGGAACGTTCGAAATCAATTGGGTCTTGCCCTGCCAAGGCAACCGCAGGCGGGACTCGAAATGCAATAAATCTAGGAGCAAACCTGGAAAAGCAGTTGCGAGAAGCAACATCATCAACACCAGCTAACATTCTAGATTTGAAGCTTTCGTGACTGCAAGGATTCATACTCTTAGGGTTTGTTTTTCCTTAACTTGTATTTAAGAACTTATATCTTGGAATCTCTGCCTCACTTGATACAGCAAATCTAGTTGTGACGGTCCCACCTGATGATGGAGACTTGTGTTGCCTCTGAAACGTCGTGATTTATTATTTTATTTTATTTCTATTATTACTTTTAGTAATTTTTAATTTTATATTTTTTACCTACGTGACTTTACCGAATAAACCCAAGAGTACCAGCTAACGTCACACGCCTCGCCAAAGAGAAGCAGTTCCAGCCACATTAGGGGTGAGTTAATTAAATGTTTGACCAAATATAGCAGGCTAATTTTTCAGGTGATAATTTTGTATGGCCCGCGAATGATGTTATAAATATCCAAATGGCCCTTGGCAGAAAAAAGGTTCCCCACCCCTGGTTTACAAGCAAGAAAATCGAAAGTTTGGCTTTACCGAAAGAACCAATGAGTAATTCCTGCAGTCACGAAAGCTTCGAATCTAGTTCAGAGTTCGTGTCGTTTTGCTCTTCCTCCTCCTCCTTTGAAAGAGTGCAGACCACAGTGGGTTTCCTGCCATGATTCTAGATTTGAAGCTTTCGTGACTGCAAGGATTCATACTCTTTGGTTTTTTCGGTAAAGTCACGTAGGTAAAAAATAAAATAAATGAAAACAACTATATTCAATCACGACGTTTCGGAGGCAACACAAGCGTCCATCATCAGGTGGGAAAGCATGGCCTAAAACCGTTTTAAAACAGTTTGCATCAGCAGTAGGTCATGCTTTCTCACCTGATGACGGACGCTTGTGTTGCGCCCGAAACGTCGTGATTTAATTACATTTTTTTCATTTATTTTCTTTTTTACCTACGTGACTTTACCGAAAAAACCAAAGAGTATGTTTACTGCCATGGTCCATAGTTTGCATTGCATGGCCACCGCTTGCTCTACTGTGGCCAGTCTTTAATGCATCTCTGTGGATCTCTATGGACCTCTGTGGCTCTCAATGTATCTCCATGAATCTCTGTGGGTCTCGATGCATCTCTATGAGTATGCATCTCGGAGTCTCCTATGTGTCGCTCTGGGTCTCTGTAGCTCTCCGAGTCTGTCTCTCTATCTCTGCACTGTACCCCTCTGCGGGTTTACACTACGGTCCAATAGATCGGATTGCATGGTCACAATCGCGCTACGCACTGCGCTCTTGATTCCCTCTTAATTTTGGAGCTTTCGTGACTGCAGGAATTATTCTTTGGTTCTTAGATAAAATAATAAATTAAATAATAGCATATTACGACGTTTCGATTGCAACACGGGCAATTATCATCAGACATAAAAGAAATAGCAACAAAAATCTAACTAGAAAACTATAGACAGACATACAAGGACACACAGAGAGAGGACACATATCGGCACAAAGAGAGAGGTCGTTTCTGTGACGGTGCCTTAAATATAGAGAGGGGGGCGGGGGCGGAGAGAGGGAGGGGGCAGAGAAAAAATTCGCATATCAATGATTCCCCCCATTCACGAAGGAGATGTGGAGCAGCACTCGGGCCTGTTTCACGATGTTCCGATGCGATCGATGGCTCCGGCGGTGCCTTGGATGAGAAGTGTCAGAGCCAGGAGGGTGCGGATGCGACGATTTCGATGAAACGTGCGGAGATTATTTAACGATCCCAACGGATGGCAGCTCGGGACTGAACTTTGGGCCACGAGGCGCCACACCTCAACAACATCACGGAAGGATCTTTATAACCCTCCTGTACGCAAGCTCGCTCTACAAATAAAGCGAACGTATTTTGTTTCACCACGTGAAGGCTCTAGGACACCAGGTGGTGGCGAGTCTCATCGGCGAGAGTGGTCTGGGGTCACCGAAAATGCCGAGCGCAAATGAAATGTTGCAATCGGTGCAGAAACAACGTCACTCAAACGCCACGAATGACCACATCTCATTGCAGAACGACTGCTATTATGAGTCCATGCCAGGGAACACACGACACATTGTACGTGTCATCGTGTGTTATCATTGGTTATCACGGAACCCCTGCGTTATCATGGATACATGCGTTAGGGGCCGTCCATAAATGAGGTCACGCATCTAGGGGGAGGGGTAGTCAGATATTTGTGACGATGTGTGACGAGGGGGTGGTTTGAGAAATGTGACGTCACATCAAATGCGCAACTTTAAATAAATATAGAATTCAAATTCTTGGTTCTTTCGGTAAAGTCACGTAGAAGGGAAATAATAAAATAATAAACATAAAACCGCCACTTTTTTTCAAATTTTCTTGCTGTGGATTTCACACCTGATGATGATTGCTTGTGTTGCAGTCGAAACGTCGTGAGAAGTTTATTGTTTTATATTTTTATAATTTTATTATTTCCCTTCTACATGACTTTACCGAAAGAACAAAGAATATGAATCCCTGCAGTCACGAAAGCTTTAAATCTAAATATAGAATTGTTATAACAACACTAATTGTTTTAACAACACTCCTACAACATCAGCGTGCAGCCCCACATTAAATACGCACTACAATGACAATAGTTTAAAGCGATTTGAAGCATGTTTTATTTTCAAAATGAAAATATGGTTTGAGGCGGGGGGGGGGCAGATCTTTGTGACGTCATATGATAGGGGGGGTCTGACTTTTTGTGACGCCGTGTGACGAGGGGGGGGGGGGGCAAAAATCGTCCAAAATCGCGTGACGTCATTTATGGACGGCCCCTTACCACGGGTCTCTGTGCATTATCATGGGTCCATACGTTACCATGCGTTGCCATGGGAACGTGTTACCATGGGTACGTACGTTATCATGCGTTGCCATGGGGAACGTGTGTTACCATGGGTCCATACGTTATCATGCGTTGCCATGGGAACGTGTGTTACCATGGGTACGTACGTTATCATGCGTTGCCATGGGGAACGTGTGTTACCATGGGTCCATACGTTATCATGCGTTACCATGGGGAACGTGTGTTACCATGGGTCCATACGTTATCATGCGTTAGCAAGGGTGTTTTGTACATTGCAAGTCCACCCCGCATCTCAGATTAGTGCGGTTGGCTACGTACCATGCGAAAGGAGTTCACAACATACACACATTGCTATAGTTTCATAAGTTATAACTAATCCATCAGGCATTATAGTGAACCCCATTGGGTTACCATTGGCCCCTGTATATATATAGAGGTTAATTCTAGATTTGAAGCTTTCGTGACTGCAAAGATTCATACTCTTAGGTTTTTTCGGTAAAGTCACGTAGGTAAAAATAAAAGAAATAATACAAATAATAGAAATAATAATATTAATAAAATAATCAATCAAAAGTGATTTTTTATAATACAAATAATAGAAATAAAATTATAAATCAAATGTGATTTGTTCTTATAAAAATAATAGAAATAATAATAGAAATAAAATATTAAATAAAAAGTGATTTGTTATAATAAAAATAATAGAAATAATAGAAATAAAATAATTAATCAAATGTGATTTATTATTATAAAAATAATAGAAATAATAATAGAAATAAAACAATACATAAAATGCGCTTTATTACTTTATTTCTATTATTATTTCTGTTGCTTTTATTACTTATTTTATTTTTACCTACGTGACTTTACCGAAAAACCCTAACAGTATATATAGAGGTTATATCGTGGTTTCCACGTGTTATAGTCGTGTGCTAGATGTTGTCGCGAACTCGATGCGTTATCGTCGAGATCTGGAGTCGCGGCGCGCTCTCTTAAGAGTCAACAAATCCCCGTGACCGATGCACTGAAGGGCATTCGCCTCTCATCACGCAGACGCTGGCAGCAAATCGCGACTGTTCTCGTCCACGATTTTAGCAGCAGCGGCAGCAGCAACAGCAGCAGCAACAGCAGTAGCAGCAGCAGCAACAGCAGCAGCAGCAACAGCAACAGGAGCGTCGTGGTTCATGGAGCTCGACGCAAATGTCGAGGTCCCGCTGCTGCTGCTGATGCTGCTGCTGCTAATGCTGCTGCTGATGCTGCTGCTGATGCTACTGATGCTGCTGCATTTGCTGCTGATGCTGCTGCTGATGCTACTGCTGCTACTGCTGATGCTGCTGCTGCCCACGATATTAACAAGGCTGCGATGGGCAGCGTTTACACAGCACTCTGGGGGGGTTGGGGGGTTTGGGGGGCTACTGCAAGATCCGAGACCGTGTCCGTCCGGTGAGCTGCATTGGCTTCTGGTTGCCGAACGAACGCGTTGATAGGGTCGCGCTCATTATATAAATACACACACACAAAGTGCTTGCAAACAAATGAAACCACAGCACCTTGGCCGATCTCGCCAAGGAGCGAAAACTACCACAACCACCATCATCATCATCCCACGAACTCCGATCGGTCATCCTCGCAGCGACGGCGAACAGAGACGGCGCTCAGCGCTTCCGGCGGCCGTCTGGAACGCTCTTCCCTTCCGATATTGGGAAACTTACTGGGAGCTGTGATGCCACTTTAAAATCATCATCGAGATTGACAAACTCGTTTCTTTCGAACGTCCTTCCCCCGGCACTTCCGATTGGCACGGTTGGCTACGTACGGTGCGAAAGAGGTTCGAGGTGCAAACGTGCACGCGTGCATACGACGAGGTTCGCGGCGAGAGAGTTGGTGTCGTTTTTTTTTGGCCGTTTCCCCAGCTCCTTTGAATGAGCTCATGGCCACGGTGGCTTTACGATGCGCACGCCGTAGTTTGATTCGCATGGTCACGACATTACTAAATCTCCAGTTTCCTCCCCCCCACACACACAGGCAGACAGACGAGAGCCTTACCTGTCGGATGAGCCTCTTCCCGGAGTCAAACCCAGCCGTGTGGATGTGCGTCGGACACCTGGATCAGCGCAAGAATGTGCTCCTAGGCGCGCCCCACAGGTGACGTTTATTGACGTCAACGACCCTAACCCACCACGCCCTCCACCCCCACTACCTCACCACCCCCTCCACCTCCACCCCCCACCACCCCCTCCACTCCCTCACCACCCCCTCCATCCTCCACCCCCCACTCCACCTCCCACCACCCCCACCCCCTCCACTACCTCACCACCCCCTCCACCTCCACCCCCCACCACCCCCTCACCACCCCCTCCATCCCCCACCACCCGCTCCATCCCCCACCACGCCCTCCACTCCCTCACCACGCCCTCACCATCCTCCACCCCCCACTCCACCTCCCATTCCACCTCCCACCACCCCCTCCATCCCCCCCCCCACTCCACCTCCCACCACCCCCTCCACTCAATCCACCACCCTCATCCTCTCCACCCTCCATCCCCCTTCCCCCACCCCAACGTCATTCTCCACCACCCTCCCATCCATCTACCAGCCCCCGCCCACCCTACAATCCCACCGCTCCATCCAGCATCCTGCAACCCTCACACTCCATCCTCCCAACCCTCTCCATCCTCCACCCACCCACATCCCTCCATTCACCATCCTCCACCCCGACCCTCACCACACCCCTCCTCGTCTGCTCTCCTCAAACATTGGAATTCAGTGCCAGTGCCCCGGGGTTTGCTCCCTTTGATGAGGGCAGGGACGACAACCCGAACCATCAGTTCGGGGGTGGCCCTGAGGATAGCCGACACGCCCTCACCTTCGCCTTGACCACAAAGTCAGTCATAGCAACAACAGTCACAGCAATGTTCTTTATTTATCCAGGACCACTTCTTCGCTCACGACCGAAGCACTTGGCATGCCCCCCCCACCGCATCGCGTGACATCTCGTGAAGCGAAGCAGGTGCGAGCCTGGGTAGTTCTGGGATGAGCTGCCACCAGCCACCATGCATCACCAGGTGCTGCTGTGTGACATCTATCTCTGTCGGCTGTCTGTTGTGGGGCAGGAGAAAGCCGCGTGCAGCCAACGTTATTGTTGTGCTGAATATCCCGTATCTTAAGTTCCACACCTTTGACCCTTGGTAAAAATAAACACATCACCGACATTGTATTGGGGGGGGGGGGGGGGGGTCCTTTGAGCCAGTGCCTGTCTCTCCGTGTGCCTATGTCCCTTATCTGTAGTCTGTGTACACGGAAGAACTTCTTTCACGCCGTACGTCGCCAACCGTGTTTAATCGGAGGTGTGACGCCACGCACACAGTATCCTCCCCTGTTTAAAGCTCCGGTTGCCGCGATATACATTTCCACGATACGATATTACGAAGTTTCCCAAACTTTATTTCGCATTTTAATGTATTGTTTTTTTTCTTCCGTGCGTGTGGCTATGCTGCAACTTCCAATACAAATGAACATTGATAGTTGAAACGTTCAACTGCAGTTCACTTCATTCTAAATTTGAAGCTTTCGTGACTGCAAGGATTCATAATCTTAGGGTTTTCGGTAAAGTCACGTAGGTAAAAAAAATTAAAATTAATACAAGTTAAATAAAAATCACAACGTTTCGGAGGCAACACAAGCTTCCGTCTTCAGGTGGAACCGTCACAGCACGACTGCTGCATCAAGTACTTTTATTATTTTTTTTACCTACGTGACTTTACCGAAAAAAACCTAAGAATATGCAGTTCACTTAACATACGCGTACCTCCCCCCTAAACACAGTAAAACGCCGATTTACATCTCCACCTTCTTACGTCGCTTCGCAAGACGTCAATTCATCAACAGCACGGACCGATGCGCGTCCACTCAACCCACACTTCACGTCACTGACAGCCTCACCTCGACTTTCACCTCCAACGACCCTGTACATTCCTGAGATTTTACTCCGTTTCAATCAACATCGGACTTGACCAGAGGGAGCTCCCAGCAGATAATTTCCTTATTGATGCCAGAGAGGCAAGTCTCTGGTCTATGCCCATGCCATGCGGAAACATGAGAATTGCAGCCAACACGAACATTCCCACTTCCAATAAACATAAACTTGATTTGGGAGCTTTCGTGACTGCAGGAATTACACATCTTGGTGAATTGGAATTACACCAAAGAGTAATTTGTTTAAAACATCGGCGCTGCTGTTACATTGGCAGTGGCGCAAATGCACAATCGAACTACTGTGGCCTGTCTTTAATTTTCAATTCACGAAGATGTGCGCATCAGCCTGCTGTTGATGTTCTGATGGTTTTACCAGTGTCTTTGAGGAATGTCAGTGATATTGACGAACATGTTGAGTTTTCTTCTATCTACCCATATCTGCTGTTATTGTAACGTTAACTTTACAACGCATTTGCTGGTTCGGGTAAAACCGTGTCCGCTCACTCTCGAATTCCCTGAAGCTTCCACACCGTCTTGGACAAACACATATCCCCTAAAGCAGCACACTTTACAGCTCACCTTTTTCAACTTTATTAACGTTCAATACTTTAAAATGATACACCAGTTAATGGAGCACTCCACTCCATTATCATCCGTAACAAAATTAGAGAGGCGATGTAAGCGCATGTGCTATTCTGTAGAAGCACAGTGAGGGTTCGGAGATTTCGAGGTGTTAGGAAACCATCAAAAACTATCATCGCCGAGAAAACGCACACACGAGCGAGTTGACGAGTGGCACCCTCGGGCGCGTCTGTGTTAAGATCATTACGGCCCGGTGTGAAATATCAGAAGCAGAGAGAGAGAGGAAAAAAAAACAACGCAACTTTATAATTGGGCTCTGCTTAACTCTTAAACGTATGAAAAGGCTACAAAAAGCCATCATTACAAAATTTCAAAAAAGTTTTCCACAACCGGAACGGGCTACTTTCTAAGCATGTACATTTAAACAGGATATGCCATCATCACAAGTGCCACCGTGGTATTGGAAAACAGGTCGAAGTGTGAATTGCAGTCCCCGTGCATTCAGAACCAGAATTAATAAAAAAAATTACTGGAGGAATGCGATAAGCTATCAAGCTCTTTTTCACACATGTCCATTAGGACTTCAGAAAAAAATAATTTGGTTTCAATTGCCACATTACCACGTTTTAAACAAAACAATCTGCACTCGCATTTGGGTCAACTGTTAGGAGAGGCTTAAAATACACTTGTAACAGACGAGGCAGAGATTGCAAGGCACATTGAGAACAACAGCGGGAACAACAATGAAAGAGAATGAAACAAAAGTCAAAGCAGACACACACACACACATCTGCATTGCCGCCATGCCAATGTTTGTTTTACCACTCCCATCCCACCCTCACTCTCTGTTCCCATCGTAGGCAGTGCCCTCCTCCTGCTGCCCCTCGCCATCCTGCAGCCCGCCATCCTGTATGCTAATAATGGCCATCATATCCTGCTCCGCCGGGGACAGTTGAAGGAGCTTGGCGAGCGGGTTGGCGGCGCATTCCGTTTCATATTCCTTCTGCACGCGCTGCTTGAAGTCTTCCATCAAGTTCTGCAACCACGTGGAGAGCGGGGACAGGGTGACACAGTGACCTGGGTTTTAATGGATAGGCAGCGGACCTCAAGACTGATGATGGAGTCAGTGTGTTATGTGTGATTTGAGACCACGGTCAGAAAGGGTCAGGGAGTGGGACATAAGTGGGGGGTGGGCATAATTGTGCAATTTGTACACAATTCAAGTGCATTCCGCCACAATTGTGTTCCCGCCTGCCTGCCCCGTTCCTGGAAGGGCTCCGTCACGCCAGATTAACTCAATTGCAACATTCTCCGAAGCTTTATGACAACCGACGGAACCGTTCTGTGTATGTGTAATGAGTGTGTATTACGGCGTAGAGTACGGGAAGTGTTAGTGTAGCAGTTAGCACGCTGCGCTATGAACCCCGCTACCCAAGTCCTATTCTCGTTCATGGCCAACGTCAGTGACGATTACCTAAACCAGTCCTGGGCCTCCCCGAGGTCGACAGCCTCAAATGAGTACCCGGTACAGCGTGTAAACGTCACCATTCCCGGGACCTCAGAATAGCACGGTTGGCTACGTACGAAGCGAAAGAAGTTCAACAAATGTACACCACTAGGGAGACAAAGGCAGCCGGGCTTGGTGCTGGCCACCAACCCTTCGTGTGCCATGCCAGCCCTTCCTTAGTGCTCACTAGAAGTGTTGGCCCCAATATTCTGTTCGGGCTATACGGGGATATTTGTCTGTTTAAATTGTGACTCCAGACCGGGAATATTTCAAGTTCAAAACTGCAGTTAGGTGTCGATTCACCACGCTGTCATCATCGTTCCCTTGCTTCAAAAGAGAATGGCACATAACCATCATCATTATCATACCTCCTGAGTTGAAGAAAAAATAGTTTCTGTAATTGTATAGCCACCGACCGTAATTGTCCTGTGCGAAAAGAGGCCACGGTGGGTGGGGTGGGGGCACGTGTGTGCACGATGGAAGACAAGAGGTTGTCACGAGGGAGCAAATGGCGCAACACTCGGATGCGACAAGCTAGCGCAGTGGAAGGCTGCCGGGGATAACCTTTGAGGGCGCATCAGTGTGACCACGCATTGCAGGTGGGGTGCCAGGTGTGCAAGAGTCGTGGGGGAAGACGCTTGGCGGCATTAATAGCGGTGGCTATGATAGCCTCTTGACTGACACTTTGACTTCGCGAATAAAGAAAGGTCATTAAAGGTTAACTCGCACGAGCAAACAGATATTTTAAAACAATGTGACCTATTTTTCAAGATATACACTGTTTACGCATACATGTCCCATCAAACTAAACTATAAACTCTTTTTATTTTACCAGGTAAGGCCCACTGAGCTCTGTAGCTATTTCTCAGAAGCAACCTGGCCACAAATGATAGCTTCAACGAAATGGCTCATCATGTGAGAACTTATAGCAGGCAAATACTGGAAACGCACGTTTTTAAATGTAGAGGGAAAAAAACCGGAGAACCCGGAGAAAGATCCACGCGACCACGGGGAGAGAGACATGCAGACTCAAAATATACAGCAGGCGTCAGGGTCGGGATCGAACCCACAACCTCCTCCATTACGAGGCGAGGGAGTTAACATATACAGATAGTCCCC